GGCTGGTGAATGGAGAGGCAGACACAGCTTATTGGTTGCAAAAACTTTACTTACGCCGCTTGTAGCCGCGACGCAGGTAGTCCGGTCGCTTGAACAACTATGTGAGTTGCCCCAGCTGGCAAGGCTCAGGCCAGCTAATCCGTCCACAAATTAAGCCGGCAGGGAAAGGGTATGTCGAGGATTGCGCTCGGCGACGGGGAGAAGAATCGATAGGTGATCAGTCTATCGATCAGCTCAGCCGCAAGTCAGATCTCTTTAGAGGCACTCTGCAGTGTGCTCAAAGTTCTCCGACTTGGGCGGAAGTCGCACGAAATTTTAAACGGCTAGCAAGCCAATTACTAGCCGCCACGTAGGAATAATTTAGAACTGGCCAATAGCGGGACACAAATTTGCATTCGAATGGCGGGAACTCTCTTGCACCGGGGTTTTCTGTTGCAGCATGTTCATGTGGCGGGAAAATTCCATTGTGCCGAGGCACCAAAATCACTGGGTTGTGACACTATCTTCCAGTCATAGCCTGTCAGAGCAGAACAAGAGCAGGGCACTGCTGTAAGAGGAGGTGTCACTTCCAAGAACCAGGTTAATCCTCCTCTGGCCCCATGACCACTGCAGTTTTATATGGCAGGTGTGGATCCAAAGTCCTGTATTTGGTGGTGATTGCAGGGCCAAGGTACTTGGCTCTTGGCAGTGACACCTGGCATGTACTATAGCAACTGATTCTTGCCCCATCTCCACTCTTGGCCTCCATTATGGTGCCTCCCTTTACTGAACACCCAAGGCTCATGTGCCACACACAACAGCTGCCCATGACAGTTGTGGCACAGGTGCTGCAAGTTGGCCACCCCTCGTTTACAGCGTGGGCTGCTCTAGTTTCTTGACTTAAAAAACAGCAACAAATTTGTGCTCAGTCTGATGCCAAGTTAGTCTGTGTGGCATGTAATATAATCATACATGTGTTCATCCTTTTTAGTGGGGACCTGCAAGTGACAGGAAGTGGACATTGTCCGTACAGCACTGCCCAGAAAGCCATTGGAAAGGAGAACTTCACTATGATTCCTGAAGGAGTTAATGGAATTGAGGAAAGAATGACTGTTGTCTGGGACAAGGCTGTAGTGAGTAACTGCTTATCTTAAAAAGAATTAAAAATATCTGAATAATGAAAGCCAAATGGCTTCAGTGATGTCAACATTTACGTGGCGTTTCCATATTCAAAGAATTCCTGCAGAAAGAGCTACCTTGATGATGTTATTTATTTGTAAAATCTTATACAGTTGGAATGAAGTTATAAACTCCCATCTTTTTATAATTTTTATGGTGGAAAACCATAGTATTTTATGAGTCTTGAGGCTTAATTGACTATATATCATCATAGTTTTCACATTGTGCCATGCTGAGTGTTCCTAGCAGACAAAATATTCCAGGCAGTTTAATGCTCTTGAGATGGACTCCATACAAGCTTGACAAATAGATCGTTTTAATTTGGGAAAATGTCACATCATTTCTGAGAAATAACGAGCAGATGCTAACCCATGTTTGAGGGGGGTAATAAAAATCACTTTGAATGAGTATGGCCCATATAATTTATACTAGCATATTTTACCATGGGATGTTGGAAAAAGTTAGCCATTGATTAAATGTTCCATGGATCTTAATATGTAATACACTTCCCAGTCCCCCCACATGTGCATGATATTGATACTGTACAATATTGATATTGTAAACGATAGGGCTGTGCTAGTATTTATCACACACTTGTCACCACCTCAGCTAGACTTTATCTACTCGTTCATTTTCCCCCAGATGACAGCTCAAATTAAAAATGCAGAACAGCTTCAATGAGTCACTGCATACAGCCACAAGGCAACCAGCTAGAGACATTTCCCCCAATTTCTCCCACAAAATATGGAAAGTCAGCTGCAAAATAGCCACCACGGGGATGGGGCTGGAATGCTGGTAGGACTAGGTTGAGCCCTGGACTATTCATGGGCTTACAGATTGGAATCTTGTATAATATTTGGGCTAGAAATGAGGGCTTCTATACTATCAAAGAAGGACAATTGTGTGTTTCCTAGTGGAACACACAGACCTTCTTTCTAGCCAGAGAATATCCCAAGATATTGTACTGGAAAATCACAACACTGCTCTGTGTGGTAAAGATTTTATGCTTTTATTAGATATTTCTAGTATTTGATGGCTAGTGACATTTTCAGCCTCTACAGCCTGTACAGTTTATGCTGCTAACTGTCTTTATAAATGTAGGAACATCTATAATAGCATGGCTGTTTTGTGTAATAACTATAAAACATCCTTAAAATAGTCTGAGCCTGAATTCCAGATACACTGGGGCTCTTTTATGTTTTTTTGGCACTGTAAAAGCGTTTTAACATGAATATAAAGACTGCCTTGAAATATTCCTTTCATGGTTCATAGCAGTGTAAAAGGCCTTAACATAACTGAAACAAGCCCTTTATCTGTTGGAAAAAAATGTCATGTATAGAGTACGGGATGATGCGTATGGATTAAGGTTTTAGTGGCTCTTCTTTGGGATGACCTGAATAACTCACTCATCTGGTCATTTATATAATCCTCTGCTCATGCTGAAAATACCTTCATGCCATGCCACACCATAATATATGTCTTCTGCCTGATATGTCCAATGTACCATCATATATCCCTGTTGTATATTGATATAATAAATGTTCCATTTTCCATTTTGGAAACACATTGACTTAAGGCAATTTGCTTTTAGGCCACAGGTAAAATGGATGAGAATCAGTTTGTTGCTGTTACTAGCACCAATGCTGCCAAAATTTTTAATCTATATCCAAGAAAGGGACGGATTGCTGTGGGCTCAGATGCTGATGTTGTTATCTGGGATCCTGATAAGGTGAAGACTATTACAGCCAAGAGCCATAAATCGGTAAGAACAGAAATGTATAATCTCCTTATAAAGATACCTGCTTTAAAGCTTGATTTTAAATTCCAAATGTACTGAATATAGACATGATGAATAATGCAGTCTATGCCAATGCATCTATGCTAATACAATTGACTATTCATATTAAAAATTAAATCAGTAATTAAATCTCATGTTTCAGAAAATAAAACCATCATCAGTGATGTTGGGAAGGTATTTTTCCTATTTTGCACCATACACTTAAGCAATAATACAATATAATACATGTCCCCAGCTGGTGTTAATTCTCTTACCTTAACTCATGTCAATGAAGCTGTCCTAGTTTATGCCAGCCCACACTTTTTGCCTTGATTCTGACTTTGCAGCAGACTAAGGCATCGTCAGTGTGACAGTCTGCTACATAAGTCTGTGATAAGACCTCAAGTCCAGGATTTCTTTCAGGTGGTTGCACCTAGTCAGTACTAGATCTAATTGATGGCAGTGCACTGATCTTGGTGTTTTCACAATGTCTTTCTTGTGAATTTCCTAGCAAAGTAGCTGCTGGTAACACATAGATATTGACTTGCACAGAGTTCTAGCACTTGCTAGAGTTCTAGCTGGCCATTTTCATTCATATTACCAGTTCAGTGTTTGCCTAGAATTGATATTATGGCCTGAAGAGAAATGCAAAAGGAGGCTAAGACGTGTGCCCAAGATTTTGGCTGAAGCTTTGTGATGATATTCAGAAAGCAGTGGATGCAGATGAGAGCCGCGGAATGTCTAAAGGCATCAAATGAGCAATTGGTCCAGTCAATAAGAAGACAGCTCCCCTGAAAGACTTAAGGAGAAATGTCATCACTGCTGAACAAACAACTAGAGTGTTGGACTGAACACTATGAAATACTACACTCCAGTGAAACTGAAATTAAACATGAATAACTTGAAGGATTACCACAGTTTGAAGTTATGATGGATTGGACAATGAGCCTACATTAGAAGATTTGTAGAAAGCCATTAAATCAATTCCTGGGAATAAGGTACATGCCAATGGCTGCTTGGCTGTTGAAAGCTGCAGATGTGCTAACAACGAATTAGTTTGAAAGCTCCATGAAGTTATACTGCCCTGGTGGCAAGAGGGAGAAATACCGTAAAATTTCAATGACGCTCTGTTTGTACAATTATACAAAAACAAGGGGGATGGAAGTGACTGTGAAGTGACAGTTATAGAGGTATATCCCTGTTGAACATTATTGGAAAAGTTGTCACTTGCATTATGCTTCCTAGGCTGCAATGTCTAGGTGAAAGAATTTATCCTGAAAGTCAATGCAATTTTTGCTCAGGATGTTCCCCCATTAATATTATATTTTTGGTCAAGCAACTGCAAGAGTAGTGTAGAGAAAAATGAAAACCACTGTATATAGCCTTCATTGCTCTGACAAAGTCCTGCGATATGGTCAATAGGGACTTTTTACTGTTCCAAAGAAACTGGGTTGTCCCTCTAAACTGCTGAACATCATTCTCTCACTACATCAAGGTATGAAGGCAATTGTAGTGCTTGCAAACAAAGAAGCAAATGCCTCTGACATTTGACAACAACAGGGTGAAATGGGTGATCACCAGGAATCTTGACCTTCAGACTGACTGACTAACATAATCAGAAAAGTAGCTAAGAATTTCAGGCTATTACAGAAGCATGCATGGAATAACAACAAACTAACAACTAATGTGAAGATGCAAATCTATGAGACTTGCGTGCTGTCATCCCTGCTTTATGGTTCAGAAATATGGACTACATATGCTTGGCATATCAGGAGACTGAACAGCTTCCACATGAGAAGTTTGTACAAGATCCTGAAAATAAAGGCAGAAGACAAAAAGGCCACACAGAGGTGCTGGAGCATGCAGGACTGACACGCTTAGAAACCACAATCAAGAAGAGAAGGTTGTGATGCTTCAGCCATTTCAGGAGAATGGGAGGAGACTGTATCCCCAAGAATATTTTGTACAGTGAGATTCAAGATGGCTCTAGAAAGTGGTTTCGCCCTCTACGAATGTGACCCGGCAGTGCGATGTTATAGCCAGTAGGGCAAATAATACTCTGGCATGAATCAATCAATGCATCTCCAACAAAGCCAAGGAGGTAATTCTTCTGCTCTACTCAGCACTGGTGAGACTGCAGCTGGAGTACTGCGCCCAGTTCTGGGCATCATACTTTAACAAGGATGTGGACAAGCTTGAGAGAGTCCAAAGAAGAGCCACCCATACGATCAGATTCTTCAAAGGCAAGCCGTATGAGGAAAGGCTGAGGGATCTGGGACTCTTCAGCCTCAGGAAAAGAAGGCTGAGAAGGGGACCTGGTAGCAGCTTACCACTACAGAAGGGGAGTACATCAAGGGCTTGGTGAGCAACTGTTCACCAGGGCACCTGAGGGGAAAACTAGGAGTAATGGCCACAAACTCCTGGAAGATTGATTCAGGCTCAACATTAGGAAAAACTTTTTCACAGTCAGGGTGCCCAGACTGTGGAGTAAGCTCCTTCCAGAGGTGGTGCAATCACCTACCCTGGAGATCTTCAAGGGAGACTGGACAGTCACCTTGCTGGGGTCACCTGATCCCCAGTTATCTTTCCTGCTTGGTGCAGGGGGCTGGACCCAATGATCTTCCGAGGTCCCTTCCAGCCGTACAACTTATGAATCTATGGCGGTACCACAATGTGTGCAAAAATGATGTGAAGTTATTCTACATCAGTGTAGAAATCTGAGAGGAGCGTGCAGAATCCCGTTCAATCTGGAGCGAACATCTGGCACTGGATTCAACTCAACACAAAGTGGCTTTGATGCAGAGCTGGATCCAGCCCACCAGGCCATTCTATTCAGCCCCCGGGGCCCCTAAAAAATTTAGAAAATTAATATTTATCTTCCCCTTACTGCCTGTCAAAGGTGAGAAGGCGCCAATGGCAGCAGGACCCAGGGGGAGCCAGCGGCAGGACCCAGCAGCAGCAAGGCCTACCCAGCCCAGCCCCAACCCTAGCCCCCCCACCCCCAGCCCCCAGTTCTGCCTAGCCCAGGCTTCTGGCCTGGAAACCCTCGGGCTGTTTTCCTGCCCTCCCTCTGCCCAAGAGTGGAGAATCAGATAAAAACAGGTGTGTGGTGGGGTGGGATAAGGATTTTGCTGGCACAGGAGGACCCAGCCTAGCCCAGCTGGCACCACACAGTTCCCAGATGGCTCCTGATGTGCTGTGTGGTCGTGGCCTGCAGCTGGGAACCATGCACCATGGGAGCGGTAGGCAGGCAGGTGGGGGGTGGGGAGTGGTGGCGGTGGGTGAGGAAAGAAAGGAAGTGGCAGGAGAAAGGCAGTGGTGGCAGGTATGGGGGGAAAGTGGCAGCAGGCAGGAGTGCGGGGCCCTGGGGGTCAGGGCCTGTGGCAGCAGGAGCCAGCTGGGAACTGTGGGGGGCCAGGCTGGTTACTGCTGCATTCTGATGTTGCAGCTGGGAACTGCACACTGCCAAGAGGTGCCCAGCCAGGCTGGCCAGCTCTGTGCAGCGCCCGGACTGCAGAACACAGCAGGAGCCAGCCTGGCCCCTCGGTTCCCATCTGGCTCCTGCTGCCACCTCTATCATGGGGGCCATACACCTGCAGCTCCCATGCTGGAGCTGGCTGTCTTCCCTGCCCCGTGTTGTGCAGGTCTGCAGACCCTGCTTGGAGTGGAGTGAACCCCACTTCCTGCTTTCCCTGGTGTGGTTTGGAAGCTGCAGGTGCGTGGTGCAGAGCCCCTGTGATAGAGACAACCAGGCATGTCTCGACCCCTACACGCAGTGCTAGCCAGAACTACACCCCATTGGGCATCATTGCTTGCACTGGGCATGAGTTCCCTGAGCCTCCCCTACCCCCCGCCCCTGCCTGCTCCTGCTGCCACCAGCAGGGCCTGTGCGCCATGTGGGGGAGTGTGTGGGGGGTCCTCACACCCCCCCACCCTCTCTCACACCCCACAAATCTCACACGCATACACTCTACCCCCAACCCTCCCACATATACACACACCCCAACATACCCTAGGCCCCCCCCACACAGCCACACCCCTTCGCAAGCTCCCCACACCCCCCATACACAACCCCACACTGCACCATATACACACGCACACTTCCCCACACCCCATCCCCTCCACAAGATAAAAGGTTGAGACTTTTTATTTTTCAGTTATGCAATCCCTTCTATATGCACTACACAAACACAAATCATGACAAATATTTTTTGTAATAAAATTAAAATATGTTTTAGTATGTGTTTGACTTCTAGTGTATAATTTGTTTTTTTCTGGTTCTAAGATGGCAACCCTGCCTCCCAAAAAGAGTATTTCTGGGGGCCACGGAGCGGGACTTCCTGTGGCAGAAGTCAGGAGTTAGGGGGTGGGGCTTCTGGTCCCAATATGGCGACCAGGGGCGGGACAGTGGTCAAGGGGCGGACTACCTATGTGGCCGTCGACAGCTCACCAAATCTCGTTAAGTGGCCCTCCAGCTGAAATAATTGTCCGCCCCTGATCCAGAGGATAGAAGCAAAGTCAGAAAAAGTGCTGTAAATTTGGACTTCAACTCAGACAAGGTGTGGAGCTGCAGAACTTGTAGCTGTTTCACTCTTGAATTGGGCTTGTCAGCTACAAGTCAGCTACATTAGGCACCTGATTAGACCTCTTATGCTTACACCATGATCCAGAGGATTGACAGTTACCTAATATACTCTTTTTGCCTATCTTTGAAGTATCAGTTATTACCATATGCCTAACTAGATTGAACAAGGTCCTGATCTGATGCATCTAATTCAATGTTTCTATCATCTGAATTCTATCTTTATCCATTCTTGTACATACTGAGATTTTCTGTTTAATTCCAAAACTTCGGAGTTACTTTACTTCATGTGCCAATGTGTATAGGGTACTAATTGTATATACATGATTCCACATACTTTGCCTATTATGTAGTGGATCCATAGAGGATCACACTTCCATAAATATTTATATTCTGTAAGGAAGAGGTAAAATAGATTGTTGGAAATGCAATTAAAATATTTACTTTTAAAACGGCCTGGTGGTTCAAAATGCTTAATGAGTTTAGATGTGTTCATTTTTGCTTGCCCAGTCTTAGTTACCTTGAAGGGGACTGATACTCAAAAAGTGTGGAATATCATCCCTTAAAATGGTTCTCCTTGTTTCAAGCTGGACAATCACAGTCAATGACATTTTTGCAAATTGCTGTCCAAGCACTATTACTGGAGGGCAATGGATTCTGTACATTATGGAGTGCGAGAGAAGGGTTGGAATCCTTCAGCAAACCACTGGGGTGCATGAGTATCTTCATTCACATTCTTAATTTTCATGCTTATTGTTAAAGTGTCCTGGTTCATGAGCAGGCTGCATCTATCCCAATGCACTCTCTTGGTTTCCATCCCTAGGGAATAGATCTCATTTGAAACTGTTGTTTAAGGACTACATTTTCATCCAACCTCTACTAATGCTAACACCAAACATAACGTACCAAGAGAGGTAGTTAGCCATGTTAGTCTGAAGTCAAGCAGAAGGCAGAGTAGCATGGTATCTTATAGACTAACTAATTCAGAGAACCATAAGCTTGTGTAAGAGACATAGCATCCGACGAAATAATGTATTAAATGAGCCTTTGCGCATTTTTGCCCAAATGTATTAAATGGGCCTTTGGGCATCAAACAAATGCATTTGAAGATTTTGTGGAGACCTCATGGAAACTGGATAAAAATTTAGTCAAATATATACATTGTATTTTACCAAAAACAAAACCAAACCAGGAGATTGTCTGGAGTTTACATGTTATGCTGTTTGATGCTCAGGCTGTTGAATACAACATCTTTGAAGGAATGGAATGCCATGGTGCCCCACTAGTGGTCATAAGCCAAGGGAAGATTGTGTTTGAAGATGGAAATCTGCATGTAAATAAGGGAATGGGTCGCTTCATTCCTCGCAAATCTTTCCCTGAATACCTTTACCAGCGTGTCAAAATCAGGAACAAGGTACGTTCAAACAGTTTAATATTTCATATGACAAGAAACTGCTGAGCTATCTGCAGCCTCTCTGGAACCACTTGAGCGCATGTTTTGCATTGTTATTGTCCCCAGTGAAATGAATCCACAGGGGACCACAGGAGGTGTAAGCAGCACCAAAGCCTATGAGCCAGGTGGTTAAAATCAGTGCAGGTCCATTGACTCTGGCAGAGCTAAGCTTATTTATTCCAGCTGGCAGTTAAGGCTTGTGTCTTCATACCTGCCTCTCACAGGTCTAGCTTCCTGAGGGAGCTGTATAAATTACAATACTAACCCACTTTAGATTGTGAAGCTGAGAGGTTTACACCAGGAATTAAGGTTGAGCAAATAGAAGCTCTTCAAAGTGTGGCCTAGATTTTGGGAGGAGATCTGGGATTTCTGCTGTTTATTCAGGCTGAGAGATTCTGGTGAGACAAAGACACTGTTTTTGCTGCTCTTATAGCTCTCTCTTCTGGCAGCCTAGTAGAAATAAGAGAGATACAGTATTTCTGTATCTCCCTCTCTTATCACTGGTTTACAATTTATTGATTTAAATTTATTTTAAAGCATATTGATGATCAAATTCACTAAGCTGTCCTAATGCAAACACCAGGCACAACAGAGAGATATGAGAGACACCAGCAAATAATGGTAGCATAGAAGTATTATGCATTTGTAGATGCTTGATACATTAGATTACTTGCTGTGTTCCATATTTGGTATTATTAGTGGCTCAGGCTGCATGACATCTTGGCCCTGATCCACTTGTCCCTTACATTGATTACTATGAGAGTAGACTTGTGTAAGTAACCAGCTATCACCTTTTACCAGCTTCCTTTTACTATGATATGTTGGGGAGTGGGGTTGATCATACTTAAACAAGCTTTTTAACTCCTTATACTCTGAAATTTTTTGGTGAATCTTCAATTCTGTTTGGTCAACTTTTATGGTATAATTACTACTTATATTTTTCCAGCCAAAAAGCACTATTATGACATTGTGGGTGCATCTACATATTCATTAATGTGCCGTAATTATGGCTCATTAAGTTAGTGAGTATGGCTCATTAAGTTATGGCTCATTAATAGCAGGTACTAACTCAATGCACTGTAATTGGAACTACTGTGCGGTAGCACCGGTGCGCACTTTTTTGTAATGCTAATGTGCATTAGACTAATTCTACTGTGCATTAGTGCACTAGCACAGTTTTAGTCTACAGTGCATGTAGCGTCGCATGTAGATGCACCTAGTGTGTCCCTGCATAGTGTATAACATACATATTTGTATTTGATAGTGCCTAGAGGACTCAATTTGAAATCAGAGCTCCATGTAGTAGGTACTTTATAGACAAGTTATAAAAGGAGCTCTCCCAAAGAGTTTACAGTCTTATCATAGGATTTAATTTTTTGAAGTTACAAGTTAAAAAGTTTCAGAATCATGTTAATGTTTTTTAATTGTCACTAAGCCAGTAGAGCTTGTGGTGGTAAGAGACAGAAAAGAAGGATAAAGCAAATGCATTAGATAGAAGAAGAAAGTTATCAACAAAAAAACTGTGAGTGGTACATGAAAGGCTGGTGTCTTGCAAACACCAAATGTCTGCCATTGTCAAGTTTTCTGTATGTATTAGAACACCTATATGATTTAAGGATATTCATTATACTGTATCCATCTTTCAGGCGATGCAGTATTCTTTGAGTTCAGTGAGATTTGTGTTTTGGTGATCCCGCCAGGGTGGCACCAATGCATATTGCTAGATGGTTGGCATACTAGGCCCCGTTGAGTCAGTTCATATCTGTGGGGAGTGCAGATTCGACCTCCTGCATTGACTCCAGCTGTCCCATTATGTGACTCCTTAAGTAGTATATTAGTTCAGTATTAACAATATCTTGGATTACTAACTGATATAGAAGCTGTTCTAATATACTAATTTTGGCCTAAAATGGCTCTATATCTTTAGACAAAAACTCTGATGTACATTTTTGCTTGGGGTAGTATGAAATGGAGTCACCCTCACTGTGCTCTGTATGTGTAGGTGAGGACATTGTCAGGTGGCAACATCAGTACATGTTTCTGTTGTCTTGTTTTAGGTGGGAGGATTGCAAGGGGTCTCCAGAGGAATGTATGATGGGCCAGTGTATGAAATTCCAGCTACGCCAAAATATGCAACTCCTGCACCTTCAGCAAAATCCTCCCCTGCCAAAAACCAGCCTCCGCCAATCAGAAATCTTCACCAGTCTAATTTCAGTTTATCAGGTAAAATTATACCACTGATTGTGAATATCTGAAAAGCCTTGAGTAACAATCCTGATCATAAAACACCTTGTTATTTTCCCTATTCATATTCAAATCACCATTCATGGATGTATGTTGGAAAAAACATCTTTTGGGGTTGTTTGAGACAATTACTCTTCTCAGAGGTTAAATGCTGATATGAGGAAACTACAGTACACAGAAGTCAGCAGTACCAAGTGGTATGCAGTGGCTCTTAGCTCTTCACATAACTGCAGTGAAAGGGCATTTGCAGTCCTTTCCAGTGAAAGCCAGTAGCAGAGTTCCCATCCTTGCAAGCCAACCCTTTAGGAATCCAGTGAAACCTTTGGGAGAAAACACTAGGAAAATAATCTATCTTTTTATGAATTTCTGACAGTTGCTGATAGAATCATAGAAAATTAGGGCTGGGAGGGACCTCCAGCCTGAGACAAAATCATTCCTATCCAAACCATCCCATACAAACTCTTGTCTAACCAATTCCTAAAAGTACAGAATCAAACCTGTCACACAACTACAAGACATATTGCCCAAAGACACTAAAAGTACTTGAACCTGCCACAGGTCGCACTGGGGGATGAGGGCTGTCGTTATCCTGTCTCTGCAAGGGTTGCTAAAAAGCACTTGAGAGATCCAAGGAAGAGGGCCATGGCCCATGCTGCACACACACACTTCGAGGTACCTGTGAGGCTAAGCTGAGCATGTACAAACATACAAGAGCACATCTGTTCATGCACTTTCAAAATGTGTTCCTTAATACCGATATTTTGTTGGTCAATTTTTCAAAAGCATCTCAATGCAAACTCAGTGGGATTTGTCATCTTATGGCAGAGGCAGAGGGGTGAAAATCCAACCCCTCACTAATTCAACATGTTTTCATGGAAAAAATTACATTGCAGTCTTTGAAAACAAATTATTACCTATAATTGAAACCCTTTCTTTCAGGCCCAGATCCCACAGAGGGAATCTATTCACAAGATCTTCTTTCCTGGATGCAGCACCCTTAAAGTTGGTGGAACACGATTCAGGCAAATCCCTTTGTAGGTCTGAGACATTAGTCAGGAAAGTACTTGTGAAAATCTGGGCCTAACTGTTTATCTGCTTGGTTAGAAATTATTATGCTTATGAAAACCAGATTCTAGTGATGAATTGGCAGCAGTCACAGGGGCAAAGTTTATATGTAATTTATGGAGCCAGTCAGATGAAAATGCACTGATGGGATTTTTTTTTTCCCTCTCCTCTGTGCTTTCTTACGTTTTATGAAATCTCCTGCTTTACTTTCTTTCAGGAGCTCAAATAGACGATAACAACCCACGTCGTACTGGACACCGTATTGTGGCACCCCCTGGTGGTCGTTCTAATATTACCAGTCTTGGTTGAATGAAGATGATGGACAGAAATGCAAGAATGAAGGATCATGGGGAAAAATGTCCATTCCATTTAATGTCTGTGTTATCAAACCCACAATTTTATTTGGTACTAATGGAAAAAATGAATTGTCTTTCTTTTTTGTATAGGAAGAGGTGATAATAGTGTGGTGTGTTTGTTTGGAACTACTTGCCTCACAATTGTGCTTTCATGCCATAGTCACCTTAAAGCATGGTGCTTCCATTGCCCCTTTAGTGACTACAGGTTTTAGCTTTGTCTTGTAACTAAATGATGGTTCCTTTGCACCCATTAGCTGTACTAGAGTAGTTAATGCATGTTACTAAGTTATTTATGCAAGTTGCAATCTGTGAGTGAGTCCCTTTAGAACAGAACACGTTGCCAATAATTGACTAGACACAATGCCAAGACTAGTGTCCATATTTGATAAATCTCACTAAAACACTTGAGGAGGAAGAATATGGCCATTTTTAAAGTATGCAGTAGAATAGTATAGGCAGCTTCTGTTTATCTTTAATTTATTATAAACCCAAGAAGCACTTCTCTCAGATGCAAAGAAACAACTTCACTATGTCTAATGATGAAATGGTCTCTGTAGCAGCTCTCATTTTCCACCACTTACATTCCAAGTCTGTGTCTTTGTACTCTTCATTTTAGACAGAGCCATAATTTATATACAACAATGCCATTGCCATCCCATTCAGGGATTTCTTCAGCTGGGCAGTAGTGCTCTTCTTTTGCATGAGTTTTTTGGTACTTACAAATAATCCAAGTTGCTGTCAGATTTTTAAAGTTTTTTGTACAAAGTTTTTTCTTTGTAATCACATGCATTTTTACTTATTATACCGTATCAGATCTACTAGTTGTTGTTCTCTTTCTGAATTCAAAGCTTGTGAAATAAAGGAAATGAAATGATTGTTAAGCATCTTCCTCTACTTTCCAGTGTCCTTGTTCACCAATAGCTGTTTATAATAAAGGAATTCTACAGTTAGTTAGATGCTGACTCAAGAAACATCACTAGAAACCCAAAACTTCCTCAAAGCACAAAGATTATTTTATCTGTACACATTTGCATACTGGTATTTGCATGTTACAGTTTAGCTTGGATGAACAGAATTTATGCCCAGATTAAAATAACCAGTTAGATTACTGCTGCTCAGTTTTTGGCTAACTGACATCTACATTAGCAGTCTTCCTGGAGCTTCATATTTGTGTCTAATTTGCATAAAATTGAGATGCTATCCTCTATCCTCATCTTCAACCTAGGACAGCAACCACTAGAGAAAACCAATATGCAATATATACAGTGCTTCATTTTGATCTAGGCCATTTTCCACTTGCCCATTCGTATGTGTCTATGTTTTTATCAGTACTCCATACTTTCAGTGCTTGGACACAAAGCAAACAAGCACTTGTGAGCAATTGGCTGTAAAAAATGGATGGCACTCTTTCCTTCTTAGCTGAGTAAGGAAAATTCCCTCTTCCTTCTTTTCTATTGTATGAAAAAGAAGCCTTTTCTTTTCCCTGACTCCTATCTTCTTTTTCTTTGTTAATTTTTTTTTGTTTTGTTTTGCTGTTCCTATGGGAAGGCCAGGATAAAAAAATAAGGGGAGGTGACTCTGAATGATGTCAGGTGACTAAAAAATCCATTTGACTTTAAATGGGACTTGTGCTTCATAGCCCTTGTCTTCATGACAAAGTTGGATCAGCAAAAGTTTTTCCAGCACAGGGCACCAAGAAAATAATGTTAACTTGTGCCAGTGCATTTTGTCCATACAGCATCAACTTACATTGGCAAAATGTATGTAGTGCTGTGGAGAGGTATCATATGAGGGTAGGCACATAGAGACTTTTGAAAATCCCATTCTTAATCTTCCACTCTGTTCTGAAGGCCATGAGTTATCACAGAGTTTCATTGGAGGAAGAGCAAGGTACCTAGAAACCTGTCTTTTATTTCTCCAACACTGCCCTGTTGGACAACAGTTTGATCTGTTTGTTTTAAAAAAAGCACAAGAAAAGAAGGGTTAGATTCACAGAAAAGAAAAAGTTCCCCTTTTATCCAGTTGTCTCACAGTTGGAGCACTCACCCTGGACAAGAGTAACTGAGGTTCATTTTCCATCTCTGCCTGAGAAAACAGATCTACATAGAATCATAGAAAATTAGGGTTGGAAGGGACCTCAGGAGGACATCTAGTCCAACCCCCTGCTCAAAGCAGGACCATCCCCAACTAGTTCATCCCAGCCAAGGCTTTGTCTAGCCGGGTCTTGAAAACCTCCAAGGATGGAGCTTCCACTACCTCTCTGGGTAACCTGTTACAGTGTTTTATTACCCTCCCAGTGAGAAAATTCTTCCTAATAACTAAGCAAAACTTTCCTTGCTGCAACTTGAAACTGTTGCTCCTTGTTCTGTCATCTGCCATCTTGGAGAACAGTCTAGCTCCATCCTCTTTTGAACCTTTTCAGGTAGTTAAAGGCTGCTATTAAATCCCGCCTCAGTCTTCTCTTCTCTAGGCTAAGCCCAGCTCTCTCAGCCTCTCCTCACAAGTCATGTCCCCCAGACCCCTCGCCATTTTTGTTGCCCTCCACTGGACTTTGTCCAATTTGTCCACATCCTTTCTGTAGTAGGAGCCCAGAACTGGACATAGTACTCCAGATGTGGCCTCACCAGTGCTAAGTAGTAGGGCTGTGCAAAGCTTCAGTCTCTCATTTGGTTCAGCGGAGATTCGGCCTGATTCGGTGGCCAAATCTCCAAATCCGAATTGAATCAGGAGACCCTATAATCTCTCTGAATTGATTTGGAGAGATTCAGAAAGATTCAACGATTTGGACCTAAACACAGTTTTAAAAGTTTTTTTCTACGCTCCCCAAGGTAGCAGGGCCTTGTGAATGCTGCGATGCTGGGGCTGATGGAGCCGTCCCACAGGAGCACAGGGGGGTCCCCAGCGTGCTTGGTAGCAGACCCAGAAGTAGACCACAGGCATTTCCAGTCCACCTCTGGGTCCACCAGGTAGTGTGCTGGGGGGCCTTCCCGCACCCCCTGGCTCAGCAACTGGTGCCTCCTTGGTCTGGGCGGGTCCCCCAGGGTGCCCCCACGGCTGATTGTCAAGCCAAGGAGGTGCGGGGTGGGGCAGGGGGGCCAGCACGCTCGGTGGTGGACCTGGAAGTCGACCGGAAGTACTTTCAGTCCACTTCCAGGTTCATTGCCAAGCATGTCGGGGGGCCCCCCACACTCCTGTGAGACGCTCCATCCACCCACCATTGCAGCATTCACAAGCTGCACCTGGTACCTCAAGGTATGTAGAAAAAATGTTTTAAGCTGTGTGTATGGCAGAATCACTGATTCTCCGAATCAGCATTGAATCTTCAGATTTGAATTTGGCTGAATTGAATCAGGGACAGTGATCCAAATCAATTAATCGAATCACTGTCCCTGATTTGGGTCGAATCTGAATCAAATACGGCCCATTTTGCACATCCCTACTAAATAGAGGGGAATAATCACTTCCCTTGACCTGCTGGCAACATACCTACCAATGTAGCCCAGGATGCTATTAGTCTTCTTTGCAACAAGGGCATACTTTGGCTCATATTTAGCTTATTGTCCACTGTAACCCCCAGGTCCTTTTCTGCAGAGCTGCTGCCCAGCCAGTCAGCCTCCAACCTGTGCCAATACATGGGATTGTTTTGTCCTAAGTGCAGGACTTAGCACTTGTCCTTGTTGAACCTCATGAGATTTCTTTTGGTTCAATTCTCCAATTTGTCTAAGTCACTCTGAATCCTAGCCCTACCCTCTAGTGTATCTACTACTCCCCACAGCTTGGTGTCATCTGCAAACTTGCTGAAGGTGTGCTCTATGCCATTCTCCAGGTCGTTGATGAAGACATTGAACAAAACTGGCCCCAGGACTGACCCCCGGGGAACTCTACTTGATTCTGGCTGCCAACTCTACATTGAGCCATTGATTATTACCCTCTGAGCCTGATGCTCCAGCCAGTTTTCTATCCACTTTTCAGTCCATTCATCCAGCCTGTACACCACCTATCTTCTATGAAAGTGTCCAGATCCCCAGACTTTATGTTACAATGGGGGTGAGGGGGAGGTGTGTCATACTTCTGTGATCAGTCTCTTTTATTGATATCACTCCACTTCTATAGAAATCATTAAATGCTTACTGAAGCAGGGACTGAAACCCAGGTATTCTACCTTGCAGACAAGTATCCAAATCACTAAGCTAGGAAATTCTTCTATCTCCCTCTCTCTGGCCAATGTCTAATTTAGACAAAATATAAATGTGTTAACTCACCCTGAAGTACCCTATACTGTGGTGGGTAAGGGCAGTTTTCAAGGGAGGCAGATGTAAAATTCATATTCCCTCAGGTAGAGGAAGGAATGGAACCTAGATCTTGGATGAGTTCTTTGCCTCCTGAGCTATCAAATAACAAAGGAGGAACAAGATCATCATCATCAGGTCTCTTGAAAAAGATCATCATCTACTCCTAAAAAATGATTCCAATGGCTCTGGCAGTGAAAGTGAGCGAGTGTGTGTTTGTGTGTGTGTGTCTGATGAAGTGCAGGGTGTCCCGGGGATTGTAATTCTCCATATTTGCAGTGGAGTTTGCTTCTGTTAGGGTGGGGAATTTCACCCCATTTTTTTTATGCCAAAGCCCATGGGGGGAGGATATGATTTCAGTGGCAAAAAAATAGAGTCAGTTCTCCCCCTTCCTACCTCCCGTGACCCCTCCCTAGCAGAGAACTCCAGTGCTGCTCTATAAAACTATGATTCCCAGAACTCTTTACACTGCATGACACACTGCTGCAACATGCAGCTGAGAAGTGCAAGCCGAGTAGGTAATGAGAGAGTGAGGAATTCCCTCGCCTTCTGCTGCCCCTTCCCTTACTTGGTTCCTAGGGCATGTGCCCCGCTTGCCTGCACCATATTATGTTACTGGTGACCTGCACTGGTGCAGATAACTGTACCCAGGAGGAGCATGGAACCCTTGTTTGCTTTGAGTTAGTGTAGAGAAATGCTGCCTGTCATTAAGGAGTTCTGTTGATGATATTATTGTGTGCTTTGCAGTGGCCAGTATTAAATCCTCATGATCTTAGCATTTCTGATTAAAATGCCCTTGCTCTGCCTTTGACAGCTGCTGCAGGGGTTTTCTCATCTTGAATTAAAAACATGTTTGAAAGTAATTTTCCTAATTTATCTCACCTGCTCTGGTTGGGGTACTTCCTCCGTAAATATCAGGTGTCTTGTAGGGCTGTGTGAAGCTTCAGTCCCTGATTTGATTCAGCAGAGATTCAGCCCAATTTGGTGGGCAAATCTCTGAATCTGAATTGAATCAGGAGACCCTTTAATCTCTCCAAATAGAATCAGAACCCTATGAATCAATTTGGAGAGATTCGGAGATTAAGACATAGACACACTTTTAAATGCTTTTTTTTTTTCCTACATACCTCTAGGTAGCAGGGTCTTATGATCGCCGCGATGCTGGGGCAGATGGAATGTCCCACAGGAATGTGGAGGGGCTCCCCAGCATGCTTGAAAGCAGACCTGGAAGTGGACCAGAAGCACTTCCGGTTGACTTCTGGGTCTGCTGGGGAGCATGCTGTGGGGCCTTCCCATGCTCCCCCGGCTTGGCTTCCTGGGTCAGAGGGGGCACCCGGGGTTCCCCTGTGGCTGATCACCAAGCCGGGAGGGCGTGAGAGGGGTTCAGTGCTGAGCATGTGGAGGGCCCCCCTCCCCACCCCCCCGCACTCCTGTGGGATGCTCCATGCACCTCAGCATCACAGGAATCACGAGCTGTGCCTGCTACCTGAAGTCTGGCTGCCTCTTCCACACAA